CGTCTTGGGTCACCAGGTAACCCCGATCGTGGCTCAGCTGCATGATGGTCTTGCGAATGCGCCACAGCTTGTAGGTCTCCGCTTCGTCATCCATGGCTATTTCTACAAATTCACAATTTCTAAATTATAAACAGAGCACGCGGATGCGGTAGTAGGACCAGAGAATGCCGCTGCTCAAAATACCGTGCTGCAGCTGCAGTATACCAATAAAAAATACGAATGAGCGTTCACTGGTCGCATATTTAGCGAATACTCGAACCAATTTATAAGAGTGTTATTATACTGCTGTAATTAATGCACCGAAACTAAAAGCCGCAAAGTCAACATTTTTATATGTTATTATAAGTTATAAGTTATACAATTTTGATCGTTTTTGTGCTTTTTTTTTACAGCAGTAGAACTTCAATTTTCAGTTTCACAGAAAACAAGCCCATTATCTGTTCCACTGTGCATTTTGTACGGGCACCCTGTACTACATACTACGGGGCACCTTGTATGGAGAACCTTCAATGGAGTACCGAGTACGGGGCACCTTGTACAATATAGTACGGGGCCCCCTGCACTACTTGGTAAGGGGCACCTTGTACGGAAGTGTTAGTAGGCTTTCTAGATATGTTAAAAAATAATATTGAAAATAAGTGGAAATAGGTAGCAATTAATTACGATTGATTCAAATGAAAAAATTCAATTGTGATTTTTTTGTATTGTATTTGGTTAAGAAGAATTGTGATCTCAAAAGTTTCGAACTTGCTTCCGTCTGCTTAGTTATGAAAAAACGGTTTTTTTAACCAGAATGTTCAACATTTTTCGAATGTGGCCTTTAACTCAATGGATATCTGACCATGTCTTGTGGTATTCCATTTTTAATTATTTGCGACACCATTTTTAATGCAATCAAAATGTGATAAACATATGTATACATATGTATTTATGTATTCCCCCAGCACACGTTTTGTGACCCCGTAATGAACCCAACTCACTTTCCTTCCAATATTTTACGTGCAACATTCAATTAGGAACCAGACGGGCAAATAATATGCTGCGGTGGCATGCCGCACTTCTTATCCTTTGTCTGCGTGCCGCTCACTAAAAATGCCGTTAATATTTCCCAGCCCGCTTTTCCACACATTTTCCATCCTATTTCCCCACTGCCGAGTGCAATTATTTGGAACATCATCGGGTATGACTTTCGCATCCGCACGTCGTCGACGCACCATCCTCAATGACTGACAGTTTATTTAATAGAAAATTCGCAATGTGTATGGGATGCTGGCTGGCGTTCGGCGTTTTGGCGTTTGTTTTCCAAATAGTTTTTCCTCGACGGCCTCATACGACCGCGAACGGCATTGACAAATTGTGCAGAAAATATGCATAATAAATGAAGCCACGCACTTTGAACTTTTGCAGTTATTAAAAGCGGCGAGCGTGTGGCATTCCTCGCGAGGACATGACTGAATTTTAAGACACCGACATGTGGACTCCTTTTTTAATCTCCAAAAACAGCATTGTAAAAATTGTTGTCTGATTTATTTAAAAAAATATAATTTGTGTGGCAAAATTATAATAATAAAATACTATACAAAATAAAAAAGACAGAGAAAGATATTTTTCTCATGAAGATCATGAAGATTTTATGTAAGAAATGCTGTTCAAACAATTTGAAATGTACAAATTTTGTCGAACCTCATGCAATGCATATATATTTGTTTAATATCTGTCTATCTCCGTTTACATGTTAGTTAAAGGGCTAGTTGATGGCTCTCCAAGATTGCGAACAATCTGAAGCCCTCTCTGCCAATAGTTTTCCCTGCGAATGCATTCTTATCCCTATTTGGAATTTATTGGTTCCGTCAACCAACCCCAGCTGGATGATATTGAAATTTCGAACTTGCCCAGCGCTCCATATGGCCAGACCACATTAAAACCGGGCTAAAGTGCAGGCTACGCATGGCGAAAACAAAGTTCTGCAGGCGACGGAGGGAAAAGTGGCGAGTATAAAGGGAATCTAATAAAAATCCACTTTGCGCAAGTATGAAAAATGAACGATGAATTGCATTATAAATGCAAAAATATTGCAGGAAGCACGACACCAACGCTGGACAAGCGCGTCGGAAAATCTGATCAAAATTATTGAGGCGCACGGAATGGGTAAGTCGCGGAGGCGGGGCTGGGTCTGGGTCTGGGGGCGTGGCACTCACTGCAACGGAACGTGGCGCACTTGCAAAGTTTTTGCGGCGACGCTAAGCTGTTGATAACGCCGATGATGACGACGCGATAAGCGCGGCGATAATGTTTGGGGCGCCGCCAAAAGCCCCAACTTCAGGTGAGTCGGTGGAGCAGTGATGACGAATATGGGAAGTCCTGCCGGGGTACGAAGGATGTGTACCTAAAACCAGTGCTGGCTTCTACAAAATGTTGCATTTTAGTTTATAACACTCATTCTTCCTCGCTTGCAGTACTGCATTATAAGGCAAATATGCAACCATAAAGTATGCACAATATTTAAATGCTCTGATTTGTACACAAACCTAATCATTGAAGTATCTGCAAGTATTAAGCGTATGAATTGTTAATCCCATAGATGCAAATCTAAGCAGAAGTACCTACGGAGGTGATATCTTGAAAATGATAGCCAACAGTACCTTTCACAGCATCGGATGAGCTCCAATTGGCAAGGACAAAAGCCAGCATGTCCTTGTGGTCGTGGCTCGTCGTCCTGTGCGTGCGCTGCATTGAGAAATTCGCTAGAAATGGCATTTATTTTCGGTTTAGCTGATGATGAGCCACGGATAATGGCGTGGGGATAAAGCGAGCGAGCATCCAGGCAGACGAGCAGCACCGGGAATTTATAATTATTATTTCAGCTGCATGTACTAAAAACTCCAGTCTGGCCATTGACATTGGGCCAAAAGCAGGCTAAGCAGGGAATCCATCAAGGCTTGTGTCCTTAAATCAGTGTGCAGTTTCTGGTCCTTGATGCTCAAATAAATATATGGTCATTACAGGTATTTATTGCCTAAGATCCAGGATAGACTCCTCTCATATCATATCCCAAAAGGGGATTACTTAAGGGAATCAAGGATCAACTTACTGTTGAACATCAATTGTAAAGGTATAATGGTGATTGTTTTTCAGTCCATCTGCGGCGTAATTGATATAACTACGATGGGGTTAAACGAGATATTTATAGGCATGTTTAGGGGGAGCGTTGAAGCTAGTGCTCCGTGTAGCTTTAAGCTAATTCTGCATCTATCAATAGCATTTCAGGCAGCGCAGTCCCCAGGTTTCGTCCTGGTTTCGCTTTGTGCATAAATATTGAGAAAAATGGAGTTTGGTGGCAGGTAGGGGATTTATCCGGGAGCTGCAATCTATCGGCGGCAGGCGGCAGCAATCACAGCCGACCCCCAGCCGGAATCGCAGCCCTCTGACCCACGCCCATGCCATGCAATTATTTGTATAGGAATTTAAATTGAATGTCAGTCTGTTTGTTTCCATAACACACACACACTGCCACTCACACTCTCGCACACTCGCACATTGCTGACAGTTTAAGGAATATGTGGAGGCAGGCAGGACATGAGGGGCAGCCAGGCAATGGGAAGTCGAGGAAGAGGTCCTGGGACCAGGACATTGTCGCACATAAGCAGTTCTTTGGTTCCTTCGACGCTGCCGCTCCTTGTTCCTTGTCTGCTGTAAAATTCCAAATTTGTTTTATTTGATTTCTGCGCTGCTCTCGCCCATTTTCCCGCTTTTCCGCTCTCCCGTATTCCGCTCCTTATTTCCAACAGTCGGAGATGCTGCTGCATATTTCCCTTTATGCAAAATATATGCTATAAATGGCCCTGCCCCACCGCCTCCATTTGAATCTCGTGTCACATGTCGCACGCAGTTAGGTGCCCTCGTTGTTATTGTAATTGTTGTAAATGTCGCCCAGCGACAATATCGCATTTGCATATTTCTGTGCCAACACAGACGCGCATATATATATAAATATATATGCATATATATGTACTATACGTATCGCATGTAGTACACCCTGGTTACCCTTTACTGCCCACGTTTTGTGCATTTTTACTTAATTTTATTTGTATTGGATTTGCGCCGCTGTCTCGGCGATTCCTCCTCAGTGCAACGCAGCGCGATTTCGGAATTCTGCAATTTGCACAATAAATTTTAATTCAATTTACTGTTAAACTCACCCAGAGACACAACAACTAACTAAATGCGGACGCGGAAGTGCGCATTCTGGCATGACAATCGTCCTCCGGCAGCCCGGGAATCCAGCGATTCATTCGGCAGAGGAGGAGGAGGAGGAGGAGGTGGAGAGATTACCACCAGCCAAGGACTACAGTGAAGCATGGCATGGGGGAATAGGTTCGGGTTGAGTTCATGTTGATTAAATTGGGATACATCTGCTGTTTGATTTATCCTCTTCTAAATACGCGGGTAGTAGAAGGAAAATATGACAATAAATGGCCTTTTGTTTCAAGTAAACATGTGAGCATAAGCATTTATAACTTTTGGAAAGCTTAAGCAGTTGAGAGCCGCAGCTTTAAATGAAGTTGGTAATTCCACCATAATTTGGACTAACCGTAGCCAACCGCGGAAATCTTCATCCTGCGACCACAGGACCAATCCGCCGTTAGTTAGAGGACTTTATGTCCTGCAGGACCGCAAAAGGGGCAATAAGTTGCGCTTATTATGATAATGGGTGCGCATGTGCAGCCATTTTGATTGGGCTGCGGCAGGATTGTAGTAGCAATGCTAAATGCAACGCCAGTTATCAAGCGTAAGTGAATTGAATGTGCGCAGCTGCACTGTTGGCCACCGGAAACGGAAATGGAAATTGGAATGGGAATGGAAATGGGAAGGGGAATGGAAACGGAGCTACGCAAGCGACTAAACTAATTTGGAATTGTTGTCAAAAGTGCGGGACAGTTTTGGTTGTCCTTTTTGTTTTTTGTAGCTATTTTGTGTCTGCCGCTGATGTTGCCAAAGGAATGGAGCGAAAGCCACAGGATCAGGCCCAAAATCGGGACGATCCTGGCCAGCAAAATGAGCCGCTGAGCATAGTGTGAGTGTGTTCTGTTTCCGTTTCATTTGCGTATTCATATTAGAGGCTACTTTCGCAGCCAGTCCATGACCTCCTTCTACATCTACAATCCGTACGAGAAGCGCAGTGTGGAGGTGCCCCTAACGTGAGTTTTGTGTAGGGTAATGTAGGAGGCGTATAATAAACATAGTAAACATACGGCTTAATTAATTACGGCATTTATAACAAAGTAACTGTGACGCCTTCATTTCCCTGCTGAAATGTGTGATTGGAACGGGCATCCTGGCAATGCCGCTGGCCTTCCGTTGCTCGGGATTCGTGGTGGGCGCCGTGATGTCCATTCTGCTGATGATACTCCTGACGTACTCCATCCACTTGCTGGTCTGTAAGTGGCTATCTCGACCCACCGGATCGCCCTCTTTAAATACCTTTGGGTGACCAACAGATAGCTGGCATGACGGAGTGCTGTCGGCGGCGCCGGGTTCCTCAAGTTTCCATGCCGGAGGCGGTGAGGATTGCCTACGAGGAGGGTCCCAAGTGGGTGAATTGCTTTGGCCGGGCCGCTGGTTTTATGACCACTTGCGTTTTGGTCTTTGGCCAGTTTCTGCTGTGCACCGTTTATCTGGTTTTCGTGTCCAAGAACTTCAAGGAGATCGGTGACCACTATGGTGAGAGGTACAATGAAAGGTATTATGTGTTGGTCGCCTGTTTGCTGCTTTTGCCGCTCTTCATGATACGCCGGTTAAAGTATTTGGTACCCTTGAACTTAGTCTCCAATTTGCTGCTATACGCGGGATTCGCCCTAATCATGTACTATCTGTTCACTGGCCTTCCCAATATTAAAGATCGCGAGTTGGCCACGCCCCCAGTCGAATGGATCGAATTCTTTGCCATCGCCGCCTTTTCCCTCACAGCCGTGGGTTCCGTAAGTTTAATCAATTTTCATTATGAATCTCTATAACTTCTAGTGCTCACATTCCCCAGATGCTCGTTGTTGAGGCCCATATGGCGTATCCGCAGAGCTATCTGGGCCTCTTTGGAGTCCTGAACCTTGCAGTTTTGTTCATCCTGCTGTCCAACATGTTTTTTGGCATTATCGGCTATTGGCGTTTCGGAGAGAGCGTTCATGCCAGCATTACCCTGAATATTCCACAGGATGAAATGTAGGTAACACAATTGCTAATTAGGTATTCAAATTAATCCACAAGCTGGTTCAACCATTATTTGCAATTAATATCTTTACCTAGCCTTTCCCAGCTCATCAAGGTCTTCATAGCCTCTGGAATATTTTTGAGTTATCCCCTGAATGGCTTCGTAGTGATCACTGTGATCTTCAGCGACTATGAAAAATCGGAAGCGAATGGTAGGAACCGCACGCTGATGGAATACGTAGTTCGATTAGTGTTTCTGTTCCTTACAGGTGAGTATTACACTTAAAAATGGGATTTATACAAAACCAACACTGGTTGGAGTAACTTTTCCTAGGTGCAGTGGCAATTGGTGTGCCCAATTTAGCGGCTCTCACGGAACTGGAAGGCGCTTTTTCGTTGAGCAACCTGAATCTGCTGTGTCCGGCATTAATCGATATGTTCCTGAACTATAGCGCGGGATATGGCCGGCTGATGTGGAAGCTGATTCGGGATATAGTACTCATACTGATTGGGCTTATTTTCGGCATAGTGGGCTGCACGGTGGCCGTGAAGCAACTGATCCATGACTTGCAGTTGACACTCGGCAGTATGTAGGGGAGCTTCTGCTGCCCATTGTTGGAAATAAAATCGGAGTTGTGCGCCGTTGTGCCTTTGGGTTTTTGCGTTTAAGAACCAAATATTTGGTTGCTTGTTGGGGGCTTTTTAATTAATTGCCAGCCAAGTGTTTGCCGGCTGCTGGCTTATCCCCTATTAAGTCGGTTGTCTAAGCTCGGGCGTCCGCTTCTTGTTTGCTCAACGTGGCGTATACGCGACTTGCCTAGCACATCAAGTATACGCCACGTTTAATTAGCTGAGCCCAGGCACGGGAGCCGCCGATCATTTGAAGATGATGGAGCCCTCGGTTCGGGGGAACTGTAATCAAATGCAGCGAAGGGCCAGGACCACAAGTTCCAGCTTCGTTTGCGCCTGGTTTGGGGCTTTTAAAATTGAATTCCTTGCCTCAATGGAGCGCAAATACAAAAGGCAAAGTTGCCTAGCTGCCGCACAATAAACTAAAAGACAAATACACAAATACAAATTCCGAGCCAAGAAGAGGAAGTTAAATCCCTGCCCGTCCTGCAGCTCCGGCAAATGTATACGTATACGAATACCTATATAAATGTATATATATATATAAATAGGCACAGGAAAAGCGACTGCCGACGACGGCGACTGTTGACTGCGCCAGTGTAAATAGCACGGCCAGCGAAATACAATAAAAAATAAATACGAAAAAATAGTCCTGCAGCTCCTCAAGGAACTGCACGAAGGACAAGGAAGACCACTGCAGCAAACACACAAAACACAATTTCCATTCTTCAAATAGAAATACACAAAAAAAAAGAAGTAAAACCGAGAGGAGGCTAAGAATAAAACGTTGCGACTGCCAGCGACAGCAGGACCAAGATGAAGGGAACCACGAGTGAGGGGACGAGTGGCAGGACGAGTACGAGTATCCAGTATCCTGGGGCATGATTTTTGCAGACATGTTGCTTAAAACTTAATTTAGAGCGCCGCTTGCACTGGCCCCCCGCCCGCCCCCCAAAAAATAAGGCCCGAAACCGAAGAGCAAATCAACGGGGGGAAAAAACGAAAAGAAACACGAAATGAGATCAGGAAGAAAAAAAGAAGGAAAAGCTCACATAGAAAATTTGCCAGCGGCGGCCGCTTCAACTAATTTTCGTATATAATTCCGTGGGCCAGACAGGATGCGGAAGTGGTTTGTTGGGTGGCCGGGTGGCCAGGACTACTGCAGCCGGTTTCTTGCCTAGTTGTCAGTGCAGCATCATGTCAGTGTCATTATCAAACAATTCCAAGCAAACCCGCAGGAGTCGGGAGCATAGGCAGTGGAGTGGAGGCGGTGGGGCAAGTCCCACATGGTTGGTGGCTTAAATGTCGCTGGCCCCATCGCCGGAGTCTCAGACAATGCGTGCCACAACTTCATTCCCGACTGTCTCGCTCCGTGTCTCGCCTGTCACATGTCCCCTAGTCGCAGTCGAGTCCTGTCAGCCTAAACTCTCAAATTGAAAAAATTCCCATTTTAATACAATTATTTGTAGGCTAAAAAGAAACGATAGCAAAGCTGCGCAAGACGATGCCCAAGTAAAGTTTTGGGAATCGCACGTACTATCTGAAGTTTATAATGACTTTTTAAATTCAGAGTCTTGAAATAATTATACCTGCTTCTTGTATAGTTACTGGGTACACTAGGCTTGTGGAGAATTATTGAACAGCTAGAAGGAAGCATCGGTTTGTCCGTATGTTTGTCAGTAAACTTGACCGTATGTTTGGCGGTATGTTTGTCCTTATGTTTGTCCGTATGTTTGTCCGTAAACTTGTCCGTATGTTTGGCGGTATGTTTGTCCGTAGGTTTGTCCGTATGTTTGGCGGTATGTTAGTCCGTATCTTTGTCCGAATGTTTGTCCGTATCTTTGTCCGTATCTTTGCCCGTATGTTTGTCCGTATCTTTGCCCGTATGTTTGTCCGTATGTTTGTCCGTATGTTTGTCCCTCGGTTTGTCCGTATGTTTGTCCCTCCGTTTGTCCGTATGTTTGTCTGTAGCCAAACCAAGAATTAAGGACTAATAAGGCATATATTTTCGATCCTTTATTGTCAAAAACAACAATATACAAAAACCTTTCGGTGTGACGATGACAAATTTAAGTTTATTTACCGACTGCCTGTAAATCGGTTATTCAGTTTGCTGAAAATATCAAATCTCAATAACTGGCCATTCCTCTTAACCAGACACTCGTAAGCATAAAAAATCCGTGTGAAGAGCTCCACATTTCTAGGGCTGCGAAATGACTTCTCACAGTTGTTTGCGCAGGATTGACATGGGGCAAAGGGGCAGGAATGAAAGGGGATCCTGTCGGCCAGATGAAGAGACACGGAGCACAGGTGAAGGTAACTCTGGGGTCGAGTGTCTGAGGTCTCGTACTCTTCGAGCGGCTTTGGCACGTTCCATTTGTGCCGCCTAACATTTATTTACTTGGCTGACTGAAATGTCATATTTGCCTTTGGCCCACGTTTACTTCATTCTGATTGTATGTGATTTGCATGCCGACGGGTTGGGAAAATTAAACCGCAAGGACACGGGGAAGTGAAATAGTATATAGTATGGGAGCAGAGAAATAAAGAAAGAAAGCCAAATTGTCACAGCGGCGAGAGCATCTCAACTATTTACTTATTTATTTCGCATTGAATGAGAGTTTGCCTGAGAATTTTAGCCAAGTTCCCAGTATTTGCAGCGTTCCTTTCCAATTTGAAATGTGCACTGGCCGTTGACGTGGAATAATGCTGGTATGCCAGCCATCTAACCATCTATCCCTCTAAGCGCTCTGCCATCTATCCCTCCATCCATCCATCCATCTATCCGTCCACCTATCCAGATACCCAGATATCCACATCCTTCTGCTGGCATTTGCTTTTGTTTGCGGCATGCGATTTGTAGATTTTTCAACCCGAAACGCTTTGGCAGTGGACACAGCGGCAAATAATGTAAGTCGAGGGGCAGCGGAAGTGGCATATGGGATACAGGATGGGGGATATATGGCGGTGGAGAGATTCCGGACAACTGGTCAACAATGTGCCAGTGCATAAGTTTATAAGGCATTATGCAACAAATATGCAACAGAGCCGGCTCAAAGACTCGGGTCACATGGCCGCTTGCATGCTAAGTTCTTCCGAGCGGGTTTGGCAAATTTTACCCCAGAGGGCCAAAAGAGTGGGCCAAATCACTCAGCTCCAGTTTGCTGACCGATTTGCATACTCTAGCAGTAGTCCGGGCATCCTTAAGATACGAAGATACAACTTCTCGCCTGCACTCGAAACCAAAGTAGAGCAATGACTGCATAGAAATGAAAATTAAAACGTATTTATATCTATACTTTATAAATTTTATATAAAGAGTGTTTGAATACATGGATGCATACGATGCGGAAGTAAAAGTACAGAGGTTGGGTTGTATACTATAAAAAAACCTTTCCATACATTGTGTGATTAGTTTCAGGAACATCAAACCTTCGAGTGCTTTGAAACATGTATAGGGAAATGTATTTTTCCGAGTGCAAGCGTCTGCAATCAGTGAGAGTTGAGACTGAGTTTTCCCCCCTCAGCCGAGACTGCTAATTAAGTGTGTGAATTCCAATCGGGCGGGGTGTTGTTGTTGTTTTTCTAATGAACCAACTAATTGCATCTAAGGCAAGTGCAAAAGTAATCAAAGTGGCAGGCTCCCAACTGCCAGAGCCCCAGAGTCGGCAAAATGGCAATAATAACGAAACTTTGCTCAAGAATTTTTGGAATGTTGCACAAATATGCGCAAGAATGCAGGAAAATATGCTTGGACCAATGCAAACGTGATGGGGCGTTGGAGAGAGACGGCTAGAAGGGGGAGAGAACGTTGCGAAAGAGACGGGTAGAGATCGAGTGAAGTGGCAGACAGAAGTTGCTTTTGCTGGCTTATATCAATAATTGCCAAAAGCAAATTGGAAAAGTTATGCGCCTGCAGTTAATGCGACCAGCGGAAATAGTCGCAGTCAAAATGGCGCAACAACCAAACGGAAGTGCCCCAAACACCCACACACACACACACACACACACCCTTGAGTATGAATACCCAAAGTTGTTATTAGTATTTTAGTTTTCGAAAGAGTATGCCGATTTGCAGCTTAAGATTGTGGGGTAGCTTTAAACTGTGCACTTAAAAATATATAGGATTTGGGAAAATGTGTAATAAAGTATTTAAAAAAATATTTTTAGGCTAATTTTTGTTGCTTGTTTCAATCCAACTGTATCTTCTGAAAGAAAGCAATCAAATTGCTATTTATCTAATGATTCAAAATTTTCAATTATATTAGCATAACGAAATCATAGAAACCCAGTAGGCATCATTAATTTATTTATACATTTACAGTATTTGCTCTTCGGCAATTGAAATCTGTGGTCGCCCAGTCGCCTTCTTCTTGTTTTGTTTCAAAATTTTGTTTTGCAACTTGTGTATTTTTTCGTTTTTGGGTGAGAGGAAAACTTGCCTGGCACTCGGGATTTGTTGAAGCAGCTCTTAAGATACTTTTGCTATGCCAATTGGCATTCGGTATCGATTTGGTTTCTGCTTGGCTTGGCTTGTTACTCTTCGTTGTTCAAACTTGTTCGGGCTTTTGGCCACGGAAACCGCGAATTTGCTCGGCTCATTGACTTGATACTCGCAATTAAAATGACTCCCAAGCTGCCACTAATGATCGAAAGATGAGTCCATAAAAGCGGCGCTTCTGGCCACACAGCAGCATTCAAATTTGCAAAATGATTCGAGTTCTAGTGCTGCTGGTAGTGCTTCAAATGTGCGCTTTTAGCGAGGTGAGTAGCAGTTCTAAAACAAAAGGCATATGCTGCTAAAAGGACCTCTTCTGTCAGTCTCGCTTCGCCAAAATTAACATCAATCTGGGACTAACCGTGGCCGATGACTCACCCAAAACGCTCACCGAGGACATGATTCGCCTGTGTGGCGATCAAACGGATATATCCCTCAAGGAGTTGCACAAGTTGCAGAGGGAGGACTATTCGGAGTCCTCGGAATCGATTCAGTGTTTCACCCATTGCCTCTACGAGCAGATGGGTCTGATGCACGATGGCGTTTTTGTGGAACGCGATCTGTTTGGCCTCCTTTCGGATGCCAGTAATCCCGATATGTGGCCAGAGCGCCAGTGCCACGCGATTCGTGGCAGCAACAAATGTGAGACCGCCTTCAAGATTCACCAATGCCGGCAGCAATTGAAACAGCCCAAGGAGGTGGAGGTCACCACCGATGCACCCAAGCCTTAGAATTTCTCATGATGGTGTATATGCGCCTAACGATTAAAATATATGCGTTTGAACATTAAATGAATCAAAAAATGGAAGCTGTACTCGTGTTTTAGTTGAAGATTTGAAGGACTTATAAATGATTTAACAAAACTAGTAAAACCAAAACTGAGCATGTTTCCAGCAGCCAGCTTCTTCTTAAAGTTTCTAATTTGTGCGTACAGTGTAAGTGGAGGTCCTGCAAATTGAACATCTTGGCCAGCTCCTGATCCAATGTGGCGTTTGATGCTTCCACATGGCCCAAGTCGGACACTTGACTCGATGGCGGCCATTAGCGTTGGTTGCTCCAAGTATGGGGTATTGGGGATTGGGGCTTTTGCAGGCGGCTGCTGCGGTTACTTCGCTTTTCTATGGAAATTTTGCCACTTACTGGCGCAGACGAAGGCGGCAGCATTGTTAGCTAAGCGCAGTTCGTGGTGCACACACAGATGTGTAAATGACGCTAATGCCAGATCGAAGTTGGGAGTTGGCCTCAGACTCCACTTAAGGCCACCCCAACCCGCACCCAAACCCGAACCCAAAATCAAACCCAAGCCAAAGGGCGGCCAACCAGCCAGCATTTTTGCCCACTTGTCTGCGATTTCGAGTGCATTTTGTGCGGCAATTATTTTTTGCTCAATACTCGGCAAACGCGCCACTTGACTTTAAATTGTCGCCAGATGCTCTGTGACCACCTGAACTCTCAACGCGACTCGACTCGACTCGACTCGATTTACCATTTCCATTTATTTTGCGGTGCCACGCCCACTTGGCTGCCTTTTAATTTGTTGCCTGCGCCAATTGTTAAGCAAAAGTGGCTAATTTGAAATTCTTTTGAGCGAAGTGCGCACATTTTTGAATGTCAACTTTCCGGCGTCTTCCCCAATGTGCAGTGCACATTTCCCACCCATCCACCTTTGGCCGCCCTCATTTTCAGCCCAGAAAAGCGGGGGAGCGGGAAAAGGGAGGAAAGCGGGAAAGCGTCCATCTTTGGTGGCTTTGTCTTTGTCTTTGTGTCACGCGGCATGAAATTGAATTTTCGGTCTGCACCGCCAGCAGAAGCGACAAGTGACAAAAGCCCGGCCAATTGTCGGGTGACCTCCAGCGCCCATGCTCCCAAAAATAAAAACATACACCACCCACCACCCACCACCCACCACCCAACTATTGCCCCCCAAGGCCCCCCTCCCATTCCAGCCCCATTTTGACACTCATACAGCGTAATTCGAAATGAATGAAAATTTCTTTTTGTCTTCTCCGTCGGGTTTTCAGCTGTTGATGCTCCTGTTTTTCCCGCTTTTCCCCCGAAACGCCTTTGTTGTTCTTGGTTTTTCTGCTCTTGAATTTCAATTTACATAAGTCTCTGCTTGGCAAAGCAGACTTTCATCTCAACTTTTGCCTACTTTCATTTCCCCTTACTGGCTTCTCGACGCGGCGAAGTCGCTGTTTTTGTGGTTAAATGTAAATTTTATTGAATTTAACTCTTTTTGTGTCTGTCTGGCTAAGCGTTAAAGAGGAAATTGCATAATTATGCCCGATCTTGGGGGCAATCCGCAAATGTGCAATCTAAGAAATAAAACAAAAGTGCTTTGGGGAAATGAAGGAACTGCATACTTCTTTTCTTTATAGCCCCCTCGAGTTTTTCCCTAGGCTTACATTTCTTATCCTTTGAAAGGACTTTAATTGATGAAAGCTCTTGTACGCAGTGCTATTTTTTTTGCCAGGAAACACACTCAAAACTATGCATACAGTTTTCCTTTTAACTAAGCCTTTGGAAAAGTTGTACTTTTTTATATTGTCTGCCTTTGGGGAAATGAAGGATTCTTTTTCTTGTTGGTCACTGGTAATTTGTGCGGTTGTAATTCATCTTGAAAATTGATTTCGCTCATCAGACAAACAGAAGTACAAAAAGTGTAGATGAGATGGCGGTAGCCGAAATAAATACATTTATATTGCTACATTTATGGAACATGGCAATCATTAATAAATCAATTAAAATAAATTGGAATTTTGTGCGCTGATGTTGAACAAGAAGAGCATACATATTTATGCCCCATCAACGGGCGAGTTGGCTTCCATGCCAACTCATACCAACTCGTAATGAAGTAATGAATTCAAAACAATATGCACATTTAACTATGTAATATATATTAAATGTTTATTATCTTTTGCAGTGCCTCAAAATATTTATACAATTTCGTTTGCGAGGGTAGCTAAAGTTTCGGTCATTGAGGACCATCAGTTTTTGCTGTCTTGTTTTTGTTTACCCTTGCTGGCCATCCCTCTGGAACTACCCCTACTTCCTCTATAAGAACGTTTCTTGTTCTGCTGTGTGATGGATTCGGTTCCATGCCATTTAATGCAATTACGCAAAGCTTACATTGCCCATTTTTCCGGCATTTCCCCCGCCTGCAGCGGCCAGTATAAATCAGATATGGAAAAAATGAAGCGGACGGCGGAAATTTTTGATGGCAGCCCTGACATTTTTAAGTGACAGACACTGGCCATGCAGAGAGCTTAAATTATTCATTTGATTTACGGCAAAAACATAAATTCACCGCAGCACGGGACTACCAATGAGCAGCAGTTGCATATTAAAATGCATTTATATCAAATTATGTATCATCTGTCAGACGACTGCAAAGGTGCACAGTGGAAAATTTGGCATGATATGCCTAATGGACCAAAATATTATTGGCAGTCAGTTACAAAATTGGGAAATAACTAACTGAATTAGTCAGTTAGAAAGTTTTCTGATAATTTCCTGCAGCCTTAAAACATTTTCCTCCTTCATCGTTTCATACTTTATTAACTTTTAGTGACTTTGAGGCATCGTATTGCTATAACTAACACTAAAAACTGATCTTGCAAACGTAATTCAAATGCCTAGAATGCAGCATGATTTGGAGTTAGCTGTTCACTTTCGTTTTTTCTCTCAGTGTGTGGCAAGGGGTGTGCGGATAGCTATGCCATCTCTCTTGGACATGGAACTACTCTCAGCGCCTTACAACTCGGAAGACATGTCGAAAGTTGCGCGACGTCTGTCGTTAGTAGATGTGTTAAGTAGAGAATTCTGAGAAGGTGGGCGGCATCGGGGGCGTGGCAGTGGCAGTGGCAGTGGCACTGGCAGTGGGCTAAGATGAAGGCAAACAGACAGGCGACAAATCCTCACCGCAGCTGCAACAGGAGTGCAGATGGGGAAAGAGGTTAGACATGAGCGTTAAGAGCATTAGACTAAACTTTGCCTTTGCCCCGATATAAGTATGTAATATACGTATATGTCCTAATAGAAAATCCCCCAAAAAATATGGCTATGATGCTGTGACAGGGGAAAAGCGTAGGGGGATTGCTGAGCATTTACCAGTCAAACACTCCTTTATAATGGAGTAAATAGGTAAAGGAACCAACTGCAGCGAAAGGCAGCTAAAGTCCCTTTAAGATTGAATGTTGCATGATAAACATACATGTGCTTACAAATATGATTAGGGAATGTATGACATAGAGTTTCATAAATTAGTTATACAAACTTATAGTAATATTCACATAATTAACAGTCACAGAGTCGAGCAAAAACCTAGCCTAACTTTCCACTAGTAGCCCATCTGATATTGATAATAATGCCCAACTTTGCAGCTCCCTCTTTTTTTCCTCGTCGAACTGGCTATACTTATAGCACTTGTTTTTTTTTTCATTTTCCAGCCGCCTGCTGTTTGTCGGCTGGCTGGAGAGAAAAGTTTTCCGCCTTTCGCCGGCTGCTGGCAGCTGTTGCGTGTTTTGGCCCCATCCGCATCGCCATCTAGCCAGAAAGTGGGTAGGAAAACCAGGACGAACGTACCGATGGGGCGGCAAAATATTACTCCAGCTTGGAGGCAGCAACTGTTGTCTGCTTTTGGGCGCTAAAAGAGGCCAACAAGCTCGAGTGCGGGCCGTTGAGGGAGTCCAAGATTTGGCCAAGAGATCGATATGCCAAAGTAGAAAAAAAAAAATGTAAATAGAGTTCTTTGGCTAAGGGCAGAAGTTGCGTTGCTCACAACTGGCCAGTGGCGTGGGTATCTACTATAGACCACAAAATCTCATCACGTTGTGCAAATACGGCCGCATGCCAGCGGAGCGTTCGAGTGTAGATTAAAAAATGGCCGCAAATAGCTTTGGGCCAGAAAATGTAGGCTCGCTTTTCACACTTGAAAATCGATTACGCAGCTGTGATCTGACACGCCCCCTCATCACGCTGCTAACGCCCACATATTGGGCCGTGTGTGAACGTTTCTGTTTTCTTGTTTTTTTTTTTTTGTATTTGACTTGGTCTGGCTTCGTTTTGTTTTCTGGCAAATCACGTATTGGCAATTGCTTACACGCTGATTGAGTCCGAAAGCTTAGGGCCTAATTAGGTGGCCCATAGAGAACGGTTCGGTTTGTGCCATTTCATGGCAGTCAAATCAACGGAACTGCAGCTCAAGCTACCCATCCTGAAGTATCATCTGTCATACGACAGGTGCACGGAGAAAAACGCACTTTAAAGGCACAAATTTAGGCTGACAATCTGTATCTTAAAGCCAAGAGTTGAATTCCCGCTTTTGTAGTGTCTTTGTTCTCCATTTTAATTGCGAATTTTGAGCAGATACTGTAGACGCTTGTCCGGCATACTTTTCTCTCAGTGCACTGAGGCAAAACCTCAATCAGCTTGAAGCGCCAGCTGAGGGTCTGGGTTCTAGTCTGAATTCGAGACAGCTGAAGACAACAGGGCGACACGAGGAATTTCTTCATTTACAGGAGACGGCTTGTGGTGAAAGTTGCTGACATGGCAAAGACAACAGGGCCAAAGGGAGACGGGTGGCAGGGGTAGCCGCTTGACGGCTTGTTGCGGTTGTGGTCGCGATGTTGGGTTTTAGATTTTTGCCAGCTGCTGCTGTGCCCCCTTGCATGCCATGCAAAAATAATTGCAGACATTTGTGGTCCGGCAGAGGGCAACATCCCAGCATCGCAGCAGCGCAGCAGCGCAGCATTTCTTCCTGCTTATTGTATTAATTAAGAAATTTTAGTTGGGAATTCTGGCTGGTGG